ACGGGAGTGTGAATCCCAAGAGTTTGTATCCGGCTGCCATCGCTCAACGAAAGTCGTGATCAGCGTAGTGTCAATCTTATCGTGCATGGTGGCAGGAACGTGATTCACCCCAGTGCCCTGCAATCGCTCGAACATCTCGCTCTCCACCGGCCAAGCCTCAGCCCATGTACGCAAAAAGCTACAAGTCTTTTCCCGGGTATGACATTTCAACAAGCCCGTCACTGATGGCTTCTCCTGGTCCTCCCAAATACGGGTAGCTATGTGTCCTAGAAAGTTAGGAATCACACTCCCGTCTACAGGCCCACCGGGCACCTCACTCCTAACAACCCAAGAATCATTAACGACCCTCGACCGTTTTCTGCTTACCCCAGACACAGTGGACGCAGATGATGTGTCAGATCTACTAACAAACCTACCACCCCTACCCTTACGCACCTCTACCATATGTGTCTCGTACATGTCATCAACCCTCTGACTCAATGGACCGTAATCATCATACGGTCCACTCCCATCGTCCACATCCTCATCCTCATATGCGTCATCCTCCTGCTCCTCCTCCTGCTCACCCTCCTCAACATCATCATCTTCATCCTTATCCCGACGGTGGATCCGTTCTCTACGAGCAGAGGCCAAAATACCACGGGATCTAACATGTCTATGCCCCGACCTCTCCACTGAATAGCTTCTACTAAGAAGGTCTAGATTCTTCCTCGCACCATGACGACCCAGTGAATTCTACAAAAAATTAAAAAATATATAAACATACAAAAGCTTTTTAGAAAAATAAATAACTACCTACACATACAAAATACCAACACTTACAACATATCGTCATGTTTATAAACATAAAATTAATAAACATTAAAAAAATCAAACACATAAAAGATAAATAGGACATAAAAAAAATATTTAAAGGTAAAACAAAATTTCTGATTTTCAAAAAAATAAAAAATTATTTTAAAAAATTAAACAAAAAAAAATTAAAATATATTACACATACACAAATACACACATAATACCCTAATGCATTACACATTTTAAAAAAAACAATTACACATTAATACAAAGAATTTCCACATACTACATAAATTAAGACATAAAAAATTTTTACACATCAAACATAAAAAAATTAAACATTAACACAAAAAATTAATCTAATTTTATAAAAAATATATATACTAGATTTATAAAAAATAACACATAAAATTAATAAATATTAAAATGAAAATTAGACATAAAACAAAATTATTTAAAATTAACACAAAATTTCTGATTTCCCAAAAACAAAATTAATTTACAAAAAAAAAAAAAAAAAAAAATTTATATACGGAAGGTGGGGCGCATGGCCAGGACGCCCACCCACTGGCGGTGGCGCCAGATCCGGCAGCCATAGCCAGTGGGCAGGCGCCTGAACTGGACGTCCACCCAGAGGCGGAGGCGCCAAATCTGACAGCCAGAGCCTATGGCCTGACGTCTGGTTTGGACGCTTCTCCGTAGCTGGGCTTCCAAGCCACACGCCCCGCCACCGGCTTTGGTTGCCGGAGCTGGCGCCGCCGCCTCTGGGTGGACGTCCAGTTCAGGCGCCCCACCTTCGCTGCTTATTTTTTTTTAAATAAAAAAATATTTAAATAATTACCTTGCCACCAAGTCGTCGCCTTTCCTCCGCCGCCGCCGCCTCGACATTGTCGTAAATAACTTTTTTTTAGAGAGGTAGACCTTCTGATTTTTTTAGAGAGATGTAGAGAGTGGTTTTTTTTTAAAAACGAAAAGGGCAATAAGGTCACTTCAATACAAATTTGTGGGCTTTATATGGAGATTTGCGGGCGATAATTAGCGATTCACCTCATCAGATGCTACTTTCTCACATAGTCACTAAATCAACAAAGGGGCCCACTATAATATCCAAATAATTGCGAAAGCCATTTGAGAAACAACCACCGTTTCTCAATTGTGAAACCGAGGCTTCCTCTTTAAAAGCTAATGTGCCAGTGTGTATGCACTTCTTTAAGAAAAGATTAATAAATAAGTGAAAAGTTAAATGACACCCACACTTACTAGGTAACACCCCCATTTTAAACTTGAATGGACGTACATATTCTCACGTGGAGAAAATACAAGTTGATCTTCTTGACAAAAACCAAAAAGTATTTTGCTAGTGACATTTATTTACATTAATAAATGGCACTAGATAAACAATTTTTGTTTATCTCTATGGTTAATTGGGGCTCCCTCCACTCACGTGTATTCCATGTTTTTCACCCCTCTAACTCAATCTAACATTATTTCCTCCTAAGAAAACCACCACCAACTACCACTGGCCGATGGCAAGGTCATCATCGGAGTTGAAGTTGTGTTTTTTTTTTATTTATTTTTGGGTAAAGGCAAAATGCCTGAGATCTTCAAAGCATTTCTCATCTGGAATTTCAGAAATTCCAGACGTTTTCTTTTCCAAACTTTTGCGCTTATTGTTTTTATCATAACTTTAGATCCTGAACTCGAATTAAGAAAAATAATAAATCGTTGGAAAGCTCCTTAAGTCTAATTTCTAACCCAATTAGAATCAGGTAAATATCATTTATAGAGCTTAAGATATGGCCAAAATAGTGCAAGGGTGTTGGTTTTGGACCAAGTTTAGTATTTTAATCATTTCTTATTTGTTTTAAATCGAAATTGGGCTTATGATGTATCATTTAATAAGTTTATTTCAAGGGCTATCCATCCATGTACCATTTGCAGAAAAATTATGAATCAAGAAAATTAAATTTGCTCTATTTCGGGTTGTGGTTATGAGAATAAGAAATTGGGTTAAGGTTTGTGGATATTTCAGTTATTGTAGTTATCTTTCATGATATTGTTCAATTTCAAATGAGATTTTTTATCAATGACCTTGCATAATAATTATCTAAAATGACAATGTTTAGTTATAAAACATGACATTATATCATTATTAACCCTAAACCCTAACCCTACTTTTAAGGAGGCATGGGTGTGCCTTGTCTGAAGTTTCTGCTGTGGCAAGCTTGCGCCAAATCGAGAAACTCAAGCACTAAGTCTTTCTATTGTGGGTTGTGGAACGGTGGACGTGCCCTGCATAGCACGTCCATGGCTTAGTGAATTTGGTTGATTGTAAGTCAGTTTTCACTCCGGGCTTGTTTCCTTATTTTTGGGATATATTTCCTATTTTAGGAAGCATTATATATTACTCCTTAGGGTTATTTCCTAGCCTTTGTGATATTCATTATCAATGGAATTCATCAAAATCAATAAAGTTTTTCCTCTCGCCTATATAGGGATGTAGCCAATGCATCTTTAGTGAACCACGTAAATTTGTGTGTTATTTATTTACTTATTTAGCATTCATTATTTGTTTTATCTCACATCCATTGCAATAAGATCATATTGGTCTTTGCAGCACTATTGTTGATATTAAGTAAGAGGAGTACAAAGATGGGAGATGAAATTGATAGTGAACCAACCCATGACTTTCATGACTACATGTTCATTGTAAAATCAGTACCATACAATGGGTTATTATAGGTTAGATCTAAAGGGGAGAGCATAAAGCCGTTAAGAAAAACACACACATCATCAAAGCTCTCAGCCTAACTTATCCGTTCAATGGAGGAAACTTGGAAACCACGAAGATGGTGGTGTAATATTACAAGCCACTAGATAGACTACACTCATTAATCTAATAGATCAACCGGTGCAAGCTCACTTACAACATCATTTTCAAATATAATTCACTACTTAATATTCAAAAGTATATTTATATTTATAAATTATCTTTATAATAAGTCTGTACGTCGAGCAAACTCAAGAGCTAGTTCAATAAAATCAGGTAAACATACACTAATGTAATAAAAAAGGCAAAAGCTAACGAACGCCCCAGGGGCGTTGGATAAGGTAACTAAAAGTAGAAATATTAAATTAAAATGAACATTAATACACTGATTAACGCGTGATTTTGGCATGCATTCCCAAATTAATACCACTTAAGAAAATATTTTAAATATTTATATTCATAATAATAATTAATATTTATATTCATAATAATAATAATAACAATTAATAACAATTTCTAATATTTACTGATCATAATAATAACACTTAATTTTTTTTTAAGTAATAGTAATGCTTATAATTTTTTTTTGAATAGCAATACTTAATATTTAATAATAATACTAAATACATAATTATATAGAATTAGATGGTTAATTCACCACGATATTAAACTTATATCTAATTATGGTCCTATTTTGATATGTGGTTGTAATAATTTGAATATGTTAAACTATTGTCTTTTATCTTTCTACTATTAACATAAGTTAAAGATGGTACACATCTATTTATGTTTTCATTCACCTAAATCAATGGTATGCACTTGTTAATAATAATAATAAATAATAATAATAATAATAATAATAATGAAATCTGCTCTGCTCTACTCTGCTTTGCTGACCCTGCTCTACTCTGCTCTGCCCAACCCAGAAACACTAAAGCGCAAAATCCCATACCACATTTAACACGAGCTCTTTCCCAAATTAAAGTCAAGAAGAACCGCAATTCCCAAATTGCAGCCAAAGTTTTAAGAATTCCCATTCTACCGTCCACGTAAGCACTGGTTAAAAAACCGGTTTTTTTTTTTCCGGTCCAGGGTAAACCGCTACTTGAAGTAGCGGTTTCTTTGCAATAAACCGCCAATTCAAGTAGCGGTTTCTTAGTTTAAAACCGCTACTTGAAGTAGCGGTTTGTTTACAAAAAACCGCTATTTAATGTAGCGGTTTATTTTGGAAAACCGCTACTTCAAGTAGCAGTTTACTTTGAAAAACCGCTACTTGAAGTAGCGGTTTACCCTGGACTGGTTTTTTTTTCAAACTTGCATAATCACTCAAAAAAAAAACCTGCAAGTTGTGTACCTGTAAAACATGAGATATATAGCATATTTTCAACACAACCACCATAAATAACAAGTTTATGAAGATCTAAGGAAGTCGAAATTGCAAAGTCGAATATTTTTCAATTGATTAAATATAACAAAATCCAATTCTAAGCATTTACAAAAAAATTAGTTTAGTTCCAAAATATACACTTAGCTCGGGCGTTGCTTCTTCCCATGAGGTGACGATGAAGATGATGCAGCTGTCTCCTCTGGAATGTCATCCAGGCCAACTCCAACCCCAGACGTAGTGTTGCTACGCCGTCGGTTTCTCTGATACTGGCGATGCACTAGTGGAGGAGATGTCATGATAGTATGCTGAGAAGGAGTCGGTGGACGGAAGGCACGTGCTGAATGGCCTCCACGATGAGGTGGTGGTCTGATCGGCATAGTGTGCACAGTAGAAGATGAAGACGTGGACGGTCGAGGCTGCTGAATAAGGTGTGACTGCCCCACCCTAGACAAGGTTTGGCCACAAAATGATGTAAAACCCTGCATCGTCTGTATGGCAAATGGTATAGCCGTCTCTGGTGGCAAGTGGGAGATGGTCTCAGTAGCTCCCGATAGCTGGACGTGCAAATCAGCAAATGCATGTGCCTACATTTAAGTGTAGTTTTAATGTTAGTAAAATGAAATAAAAAACGTAAGAACTAGATTGAAATGAAGTGAAGTTCATACAAGCAGGAGGTCCGAGGTAGCTGGCTGGTAATGACTCGGGGGGCGCTCCTGCGAAGGTGGAGTAATGACCAGTCTCGTGATGCGACGGTACCAAGCCATGTACTCTGTCATGGCCGGGGAAGAAGTCCCAGTGAACGGGTATCCCTGGACGACTAATGCCTCTCGTCGACTCCACTCGTGTACATGATCCGAATGCCGAATCTCCCAATTACGCTGTCCCCTTCGATCCTTCCTGTGTAGAGCAACGTCCGTGTCTACATCCTGTGGGATCGGCTGGTCTAACCCGAACTGACGAAGGACTCGGTCTGGGAGGTGGAACTCAACGACGTCAAAGCATATCAGAGGTGCCCGTGAACGCCAAATGTGCATGTCTGAGCGACAAATCTCCGGAAGTCGATCCATCACCGCCTCAGTATATGGCTGCCAAATCATCTAATTCCCAAAACAAGTATGTCAACATGTATATGACTAACATAATGGAAGAAATACAATGCACAAAAAAAAAGAAACACCGATTGTACCTGGTCCTCGTGCTGATGGTCAAACGCATCTCTGTAGTATGGTAGTCCAGAAGCAGTATGCGCACACGATAGATGGACACGTAACCACCTGTAAAGACATGTTAATAATAATTCTTGAAAGATAGAATTATAAGAACATGAACTTGAAGCAAACATTGTACCTGCACGCCAAAGGGTCAACACCTCGCTGATGCTGAGTCCCCAAAATGTCATCCTCATCCTCAGCCTCAGGGTCCTCCTGTGGCGGATCTCGAGGCCTCCTAATGTATGGTCGGCCAATAGTAATATGCTCCCACGACCACAACTGTAGTAGGATGAGCGGGCCTCCAATCTGTCTTGAATCTCGCTGACATCCTCGACATAGCTGCCGATACAAAAAACCAAGAGTCGCACTCCCCCAGCTGTAGGTCGAAGCTGTCCCCCAGTCTCGAAGGAACGGCAAGTAGTAGAGTGACACAGCATCGCCACTCTTGTCGGCGAACAGAATAGATCCCATGAGAGTGAGAATGTAAGCACGGCTATGGCGCTGAACTGTCAAGTCATCAGCTCCCTCTGGCATCTGTGAGAAGTGACGTCTGAGCCACGTCAACTTCAAAGTAGATCCCTCCAGAAACGGCTTACCGTTATCATCATGGCCAGGTCGAACTCCCAGCAACTCCTCAACTAGGTCATGCCATCGGGAGACATCGAGCCCCCTTTAAGACTCCGTTGAAAACTTCCGACATGTTTGTAGTCTTCACACCAAACCTGAAACCACCATCATGATGAATGGACCACTTACTGTACGGAATTTCCATCAAGTACCTACGGGCCTCTACATTCAAGTCACCAATTTTGTTGATGTAGTAATCAAACTTCTTCTTCTGCCTTGCAGTAGCTGCTTTGCCAAAGAGGTTCTTTATGACGACACTTTTAAATTTTGAGTTCACATTAGAAGCCAAGTGTCGTGTACAGTACTTGTGGTAGGCATTGGGCTCCTCCCAACCACTTCCAACTTCTTCCATTGCTGCTAAAATACCAGCATGTCTGTCAGATATCACACATAGCCCTTTCCTATCTGTAACTCGAGCACGAATACAAGCCATGAACCAAGACCAACTATCATTGTTCTCTCCTTCGACAACCGCAAAAGCAAGGGGGAATAGTTGAAAATTGGCATCCGTTCCCATAGCAATGAGTAGAGTGCCTTTGTATTTGCCATATAAATGAGTGCCATCAATGGTGATAAGGGGTCTGCAGTGACGGAATCCATCAATACATGGCTTGAATGCCCAAAAGACTCGTTGAAAAACATGTGTTCCAGGAACCGTACACTCTAACAACCTCCACTCAACAACAGTTCCAGGATTTGATTCCTTGAGAGCTTGCATGTACTTAGGCAACTGTTCATATGAACCCTCCCAACCCCCATAAATGAGTTTTATTGCCTTTTGTTTCGCTAGCCATGCTCTCTTGTAGGTTATTTGGAATCCATCAAATTTCTCTTTCACAAGTTGCACCATTGTCTTGATTTTCAATGAAGGATCAACGCGAATGACATCTAGAAGAGCATTGCAAACGAACTCGGAAGTCAGTAGCTTATGATCTCCCGAGTCGATGTCACCAACACAGTTACTTGCATGAGGGCCGTTGTACCTCACAATTTTTAAACGTAGAGAGTGTTGGATCTTTCACTCCTCTAAGCCTCCACGAACAACTACATTGTTCTTTCCTCTTGCACTCAACAACATATTTTCTCTGGCTCTGCCTCCACAACTCGAATTGTTTGATTTCTAGCTATGGAGTAAGATTTCACAGCATCTTTCAGTTGTTTGCAATGAGTCAAAACTGCTGACCAACCTCAAATTCTCCCCCATTGTTATATGTCTCATTTCCTAACCAAGACATTCCATGAGTTTATTCAAACGAGGATCAACTTGCGCCACTTCATTGAAGTCTGAAGTGGGGGCGCTTCCTTTAATTGCCTTATCACGAGCTTCAATTATCTCTTCATCATCATCTTCATCAGTGTCATTCATCTCTGCATCGCCAAATACATCAACATTGTTTGGGTCAAGAGAATCAAGAATGCCTTGTGGTTGTGTGCTTGTCGAGGTTCCAACATTAGGCGATGAGGCCGGAGACCTAAACTGTGAGAGATGGTCATTGACATAATGTGGATCAACAAGCATTCTTGTGAATGACCCTATGCCCACACTTTGAACACCAGTGGAAAACGGTTGATCCACACTACCAAAAAAATCCATCCCCGGAAAGGAACCAGTGTTAGTTTGCACAACTGGCTCCTTTGGAACTTGTTCAATGAACAATTGCATTGCAACAGAAGAACTCTGAGTCACAGCAATCCACATAGCTCTAACAGCGTTGTCGTCATTTAACGGAATTGCAACATATGCCCCAGCCATAGGATAACGCATAACCACCTTCAACTCCACACCTCTAGGATCAACACTCAATTCTTCATATAGCTTGTTCAGAACTTGTGAATATGTCATCGCAGAATGTACAAACACAAATTTTTGATTCCCACCCCTATACGTTATATCGCTATCTTTGTGGACAATTTCTCCACCCCAATAGCAATATAGAGGGTAGTTCGGAACCTCCATGTTTCATTCTAGAAAAGACCATTATTAATCAAAGATATTAGATTGCAAAAATTCATTAACAGTGTGGCAATGTCCTAACATCAAGCAAGCAAACTACACAATTATAGCAACCTAAACTGAGCTATGAAGGTCTTAATACCTCTTGAAGCTCAACATGGGCATAAGTCATGACTACATGTACTTTGAGCTCATGTACTTTGTGTATAGAAGCTCTATTTTCACTTTCAAAATCAGCAATTATAGCAACCTAAACTGAGTAATGTGATCGAAACCATTAATAATTCTACAAGGGTTATATGTAAGGTAAGTAAATCAACAACAACAACCAAAACCAACCACAAACATACATACAATTCTGAAACTCAATAACAACAACAATAAACAAGAACACTAACAACAACAACACAACCAAAACCGAAACTCAATAACAACAACAATAAACAAGAACACTAACAACAACAACACAACCAAAACCGAAACTCAATAACAACAACAATAAACAAGAACACTAACAACAACAACACAACCAAAACCAACAACAACAACACATACATACAATTCTGAAACTCAATAACAACAACAAACTCAATAACAACAACAAACCCAATAACTGAATACAAAAAATAATTAGGGCACTTACCACAAACAACAAGATCAGCACGTTTCTTCTGAAATTAGCGAAGCCGACCACTAAAGTCGAACCCTCGGCGTCAACAGCGGCGGCCTTCGTTGCTGAGGAATGCTCCGGCGGCGTTGGTGGATTCCTTGGCTGCGCCGGCTTCCGTTGAAGGAGGTGTGATTTTGGTGGAAGGCGTGGATGGGATTTTGTTGAGAAGACGAAAATGAAAGAGGAAAGTGAAATCGGGAAATTATACCTGCTAGAAAACCGCTACTTGAAGTAGCGGTTTATTAAACAAAAACCGCTACTTGAAGTAGCGGTTTATTAAAAAGAAACCGCTACCTGAAGTAGCGGTTTATTAGTAAAAACCGCTACTTCAGGTAGCGGTTTTGCTGTAGACCGGATTTAAAATTTCTTCCCCCTAAACCGGTGACGTGAACGGTAGAATGGGAATTCTTAAAACTATGGCTGCAATTTGAGAATTGCGGTTCTTCTTGACCTTAATTTGGGAAAGAGCTCATTTAACACGCCCAAAAATCAACAAATCCAATAAACTACACAATACAATCAAAATTGTCTACATCCCTTCAATAAGAGTCCAATTTCACCAGACTTTCTTTCATAACTTCTTCTTCTTCATCTTCTTCATCTTCTTCCTCCTCAACTTTCTCTCTCCTCTCAGATCAAATTCCCCCTTTCACTTTTTTCCTCCTCACTCACTCTCTCTCAGCAAACCTGGAGCAGCTCAAGACCATCGGCCGGGAGCTCGCAATGGGCTCCCAAGGCGGTTTCGGCCAATCCAAAGAATTCCTAGATCTCGTCAAATCAATCGGCGAAGCTCGATCTCGTTCCGAAGAAGATCGCATCGTTCTCAACGAAATCGAAACCCTAAAACGCCGAATTATCGAACCCGATATCCCGAAACGAAAGATGAAGGAGTTCATCATCCGTCTCGTGTATGTTGAGATGCTTGGGCATGACGCCTCTTTTGGGTACATTCATGCGGTAAAAATGACTCATGATGATAATATTCTTCTTAAGCGGACTGGGTATTTGGCTGTTACCCTTTTCCTTAATGATGATCATGATCTTATCATCTTGATTGTTAATACAATTCAGAAGGATTTGAAATCTGATAATTATCTTGTGGTTTGTGCTGCTTTGAATGCGGTTTGTCGATTGATCAATGAGGAGACTATTCCCGCGGTTTTGCCCCAGGTTGTTGACTTGCTTAATCACCCTAAAGAGGCTGTTAAGAAGAAGGCTGTTATGGCTTTGCATTGGTTTTATCAGCAGTCCCCGTCTTCGGTTTCGTACCTCGTCTCGAATTTTCGCAAGGTGAAAGGATTTCTTTCTTTCTTTCTGCATTGTTTAAATTATGGGTTTTGGGTTGTGGATTATAATAATCTTTATGACCTGTAATTTTGTTGAATTATTATGGGTTTTAAACTGTGCATTGTAGTAGTAATAGTTAGAATTTGTGTCCTGAAATTGTTGGAAGGATTTGCATGTCAATGTGTGATGCCTGGTTAACTGAAGTGAAAGTGAACTTCTTTCTGGTTTTAGCATTATATCAGTGGATTTTGTAATATGCCTATAACTCTAAAGTAGTGAAATAGTGAGTTTAAGCCCTCGGAGTAGATTTGTGTTTGATCAATTTCTCGAAAGCATGGGTATTCAGGGTGCAATTTTGGAGAATTATGGATTTCAAGCTGTGCATTGTAGATATGCCTTATATTTCCTGGCAGAGTTTTGCTTGATGATTTGTGATGGTAATTAACTGAAGTGAAAGCGAACTTCTTTCCGGTTTTAGGAATTGAAAAGTAGCATTAGAGCAACTACTATGGTTGGCTAATTCTTTTAATAGCTTGTCATGCCACATCATCTTCTTAAGCTATAACAATTCTAACTATTTGTTACTCCAATGGTTAAACTAGTTGTAAATTAATTTATTTTTAATATAATAATAATTTTTATCTAATAAATATTCACCAAGCTAATTAGCTCTACAAAGCTAATTTGTTTGACAAAGCTAATCAACAAGATGTGCAACAATGGTGTAGCTAATAGCTTAATATTTTTTATATTTGCAAGCTAGTCCCTTTTCCCAATTGGAGTTGCTCTTATATTAGAAAAAATTGTAGTATGACTCTTAATTTCAACACCCCAGTTAAGTTAGTTTGGCCCCTTGGATATGTTCATATTTAATGCCACTGTAACATTGGATACATGAAGTTAGTTAGAGGTAGAGATAACTCTAAAGTAGTGAGATATGGCCCTTAGAATATATTTTTTTTCCTGATCTTTGTCTCAATCCACAAGTAATCTAGATTCAATATAAGTGCTCCTATAATATTCAATATTGATAGGAATGTGACTGATGGAAGTTGGGACTTGTGGATTGTGAGCAAAACTGAATATTCGACTTTTCCTAGAGATGGGAAAAAGGGTTCATGATCTAAAGTATATCTTTTCATTCCCTGTTTTAACCAGTGAAGGGGATTTCTAAAACTTAAGTTAAATTGGTAAGCTTTTATACTTCTTGAAGCAAAGGGACTAGGCCACAAGGCAATGATAAACCATCACTCTGTAGCTGTTCTTGCCATAGTTCACTGCTAATATTTGCCTATCAAGAGTTTTATGTATTTATTTTGGGTAAAGCTTTTTGGGGACAGTTTTTAGCAGTACAATTCTCTTAACAGATTGAAATCTGACTATTTTTCAATATTGTTTGGTTTTGAGGCTGTTTGTTGAGACAAGGAATTGTTGGGCCTATGTGGATTGTGATATTTTGTGTAACTTAGTCTGATAACTTAATAAAGTTGCAGATATGTGCCTTAAGAAGATTATGTTGGATTGTTGATGAGCCTTAACAAGATCCTGGGTTAAACATCTTTGCTAGGAATTTACACATATATGCACAAATTACTGAATTTGGCCCTTAAGCATGAAGATCTCGTTGGATGAAAATATGCAAGGAAAACAGGGGGTTTAGTGATGATAGATTGTGGTGCTGCTTGTCATATAAAGTTAAACTATCTTCTTGTCATTACCTGCGATTAATTAAGTATTTAATCTTCAGTGCTTCATTGTAGCAATTGGTTAGGTAGTCTTGTTTTATGAAGATGGTATTACCTTATTGAAGCAGACAATAAGGGATTAATAGAGTGCCTACCTTTGTGGTTTGGTGGGTTATGTGAATGGAAAGAAACTATTCTTTTGTTGTTGGTGTTAAATTTCTATTGTGAAACTCTTTTTTTTTTTTTTTTTCTTT